GTGGAAGGGAAAGCAAGTACAAAATAAATGGTACTATGGTGAACATGCTATGTTGAATGTGACTCAATTCTAGCCATAGATCTGCTTTCTGGGAACCCAGATTATAAATTTATTTTTGAAGCCTAGACCGCTTTGGATGCTAGAGGAATCCCCCAGAGCCTCTAATGGGGGCGGGGGGTGCCTGCCCTGCTCATGCCATGTCTGAGAAGTGTCTTGGCCTCTTCTACTTACCTTCTCTATAGGGAGCTCCCCTACTGGGTTCAGGCGACTTTCAAACTGTCTTTCTCACATCTCTGGTCTGTTGGGGGAAATAAGGTGCTTCTGTATTAGGCCCAGAATTCAAAGTCTGGATTTAGGCCTTACTGTGTCTACTTCACAGGTCACTTCCTTTACCCTTTCTGTAAATCTGTGAGCGCAACACGATTGGACAATGTCAGGAGGTAAATGTCAGGTTTCTCCCTCCCGGATGGCAAACTTTACACTCATACTTCCCAGAGCATCTTAATTTCAATAATTCAAATTCATTGTCCCAGTAATTATACACCTACTTGTCCAACCATATGTCCCCATTGTCTTTAATATAACCTCTATGCCTAGGTTTTGGGCCAGTATCTTACCCTGTCCTCACAGATGGACAAAAGGCCTTAAACAGCAGGCAGCATTTTGGGGAGCGACTATCTGATGTCTGCTCCACCACCAGGCAAGCAGAGGTCTATATCCTCCCCATCCTTCAAAGCTCCCAGCCTCCAACCTGTGTTTCTTCATGTGAACTTGGCCTCAATTTCTGTTCTTCACTGAGAGATACCTTTGAAAACTCATTTGCAAAGCAGAAATAATTGACACATTTAAATCTAGAGAGTGTTCAAGCCAGCCCTGCCTCAGGTTACCCGCTGCCTTTACCGCCCCAAGTACTCTCCGGGCCTCCTCCTCCAGGAGTGATCTTGCCTGATTCTGGTCATTACAGTTTTACAACATTAAAATACTTGCGCCATATAGTAAAGATAAGACACATACAATTAGAGGAGGGTTGGTCACTCACACAGGCTCTTACAAGAAAACAGGCAGCTCTTTCCCTGGTAAGAAAAATTTCGGTCTCCACCCATCACAAAAAAAAAAAAAAAAAAAAACTCCCAAGATGCCCCAGAATGCAGTTTCTTTTCTTCATGACGTGTTGTAAAGCACGTCAGCTGCTCCTTGTTGCTGTGCAGATCACCCAACATCAGGTCACTGAGAGAGACGGCAGCGCTTGCTCTCACAGCGGATGGGATTAGGACATGGTGCTTTGTCAGCCCTGATTCAATCCGAGCAAGCAAACGCAGGTGAGATGCCAGGGAGAGCGGACGTGGGGACTGTGCTGTGTCTTAGTGACATGCAGCCGTTTTCTCCTTGGCTGGGCATTCATATCGTCTTCTCTGTGAAGTTTGCAGTCGGTGGGGAGGGGTTCAGGGGTGCGGTGCTATCAATAAAAACCTGTCCTTTATTGCTTATCTGGTTTCAAAGATTGACCACACAAAACTCATTGCATTTCTGTGAGATTTGAGTAAGATTACGTATGTGAACGAGCTCTGAAAATGTTAAGTTTTGTGCATAAGAGAGGTATCAATTATTAATTAGAAATGTAACATAAATAAGGAAATGACTACTCCCAGATTGGGGGCATAATTATATTAAGACATTCCTTCCTCCCCTATCTCCTGTTTCTCATCAGGTCTGGATAAGTGTATTATTTATAATCTCTACAGGTTGAGCCCTAAGGCAATTGATATTTTCTAAAAACTAGTAATGCATTCATTTTTGAGGAAAAGGTGACAAAAGTACAAAACAAGATATATAAAGCATTTAAGTAGAAAAATGAAAACAATGCAGAATATTTCAAAACTGATGAAAGATGAGTATTTCATGCTACGTTAAGTTATACCTCTTTGGTGGTATAATCCAAATGTGACATTTCTCCCAGTGACATGAGAAACAATTGAACGAAATTATAGGCGGCATAGATGTCATCTGTAAAACTTGCCTTTGAGAACAGTGGGAAAACAGGCTTGGGTTTCAAAAGTATAGAGCTAAGAGGCATCTGAACACTAAATCATCAGCCTTTCCCTCAGCAAGGTTGCTATGGCGACAGCAAGGCTACTGCACAAGCCTCTCAGTGCCTGCACTTCTGCAGTAAAAGCTGTCACTGAACATATGTTGGATTTTTTAGGCACGCACCCCATCATCAAATACAAGGATGTATTAGAGGCAGCTTTATTTGAGTCATTTGCAAAACAAGTTTTATCTACGCTGTTTATCCTGCACTGATGAGCCCATTAGGAGGTTATAAAACTCACTCTTGTGCATTCGTTTGGCAACTATGTATTGGTGCCCACTGTGTGACAGGAATTGTTCTAGGCATTGCTTACAATCCTTGGCCAAGACAAACAAGGAAATGGGGGATTCTGACATGATCATAACAGCTCTCCTGGGGGCAAATACAAGTTCTCCTGGATGTATCAGGGGAGGTTTGCTGGAAGAAGCTTTCTAAAATGAAACTTAGTATATCTTTAGGAGCCAAAGAGGATGAGTGGATGGGGGTGTAAGACACCCTCTAAGTAGGGGGAACAGCATGTGCAACAGTGTAGAATGAAAACAGAACAGGAAAACTCCAGAGACCTCCAGGTCTTGCTGGGTTCAGGCGACTTTCAAACTGTCTTTCTCACATCTCTGGTCTGTTGGGGGAAATAAGGTGCTTCTGTATTAGGCCCAGAATTCAAAGTCTGGATTTAGGCCTTACTGTGTCATTTTGAGAGGTATCCATGTGTGCATGGGGGGAGGGGCAGGCAAAGGAGGGGAGTGGCAGCTATGGAAGAGGGGTGGCAAGAAGTAAGACTGGAGAGGCAAACAAGGCGGCCGGATCAAGAAAGGCTTATGTACCACATGAAGGAGTTGGAATGTTACCTGGAGAACAAATGGGAAGTCCTTAATGAGTTTTCATGACAAAGCCTGACTTGATCCAGCCTTTCAGAAAGGCCTTGCAGAAAAACTGAGAAACTCATAAGTGAGAAAGGAACATGATACAAGACTGGAAGCAAGACTTTCATTCAACCCCTAATAATCTAGGGTGACTGTGGTTTAGACTCTAAATGAAGATAGTGAAGATGAACAGTGGACAGAAGTAATCAGATTCAAGACATTTCTTACTAAGGGAGTATGGGGATCACTTGGTAGTTCGTGCCATGTCTGTGGTCAAGTGAGTGAGAGGAAGCCAAGAGGACTCTGAGATTCTAACTGGGATAACTCAGTGGAGGGTGTAGGTCCCTGCCTCAATTCTTAGTTTTCAGTAAGGAACTCGGAAACATCTTTGGACTTTACTAGTGTGTTCCTCTCTCACAGTATATGACCCCAGGCTCATAATTTTAGAAATAATAATAAGAAACATGGCTGCCCATCACCTTCTTGAAGTCACATTTGAGACCACTGTGGGTGTGATAAGTATGAATTGACAATCCCTTCTTCCCGGATAAAGAATTCTAAGATTAACAACCTCCCTGGTCAAGAGAGCTAAGTAGGATAGAGGAGATTTATGGAGTAAGATCTTTTGAGGAGTTATTGGAAAGAGGTAAATTGATTGCACTAATCCTCTGACTTCAGGCTCTCTCTAGAGTCCCAAGGTACATGTGTGGACTTGAGAGCTGAGGACTCAGAGAAATACTGCTTAGAGGACAGACAAATGAGGATGGTGGGGGTTCAAATACATTTTTAAGGATGCACAAGGATCAGATGGTTCACCAGCCACATTGCTATGTAGGGAATTCTCCAATTCTGAGTAGAAGATTCATCAACCATTATACATGGTGAAGTCACCAGATAATTAGATTAAGTATAGCAGGTGTAATAAATCAAGGCCTCTGGCCCAAATGATGATACTATTTTAGGTCCCCAATTGGACAGGGTTTTGAGCATTTTTAGACAAATCTGCATCACAAAGGTTTTTCTGCCTGTCGTGTAAAATTCATCACCAAATATCGAATGGACCTCCTGGGCCTGATTTAACTGCCTTTTGGAAAGTCTTGTTCAATCAGCTGGCACAGCTGTTGTGTTTTCCTCATTTGATCCTCGCCCTTATCCCTGAGGTAGGTATTCGCCATTTAACCAGGATAAACTTGAAGTTGAGAAGGGGCAAGAACTTTAGGTATAAGGACACTCAGCTTGAAGGGATCGAAGCGCCGGCTTAAACTAGCTGTTCTGAGTTTCATGCGGTGTCCTCCCCCTCGCAGTCCGCCAGGCTGCGGGCGGTCGGGCGGCGGCGAGCGGAGCTGGGGACGAGGCTGTCCTGCCCTGCCGAGTCCGGCTTCCCCAGGCAGAGGGAGCGCGCCCCCCTGTTCCTTCCTGCGGGGTGGCGCTGCGCTGCCAGCTGAAGGCCCTTCTGATGCAAACCTCCCGAGAGGGACGGTCTCGGCCTTAGAGATCCCGGAACCAAGACGCCGTGCCAGTCCTGCAGCATTGGCTTGGCTGGGCTCCGGGAGGAGGGTGACCGCTTGCCACTCTCGGGCGAGGTGACTGTGGGGAACCAAGAGGCCAAGGAGGGGCCGCCAGGGGAAAACTTTCCTTCCTTCTCCATTCTGACTCTATGATGTCGCAGCTTTTCTAAGTCTCTCGGTCCAACGCTCACCCCCTGCAAACCCTAGACCGAGTGCCAGAAGCGGGTGGGGACGCCTCTGGGCGGGGGATGCTACCAGCCTCTGCCTGCGCTCAGCGCCCTGGG